AAAACATTTTACCATCAGTATACAAAGTATTTGAATACTTTTCCAAAATTTATTTCGTTGGAATTTCATTAGTTTCAGGTCTGATCATGGATCGATATGTCGGTTAGGGAGAAGCAGGGAGTACTAGACACTTGTTTATTCCTTGTTTGGAGCTCTTCAGCAGCACTCACCTTTGACTTTACTATGCCTTGAACTGAGAAGTTTCAGGATTACCAGGGGAAGATCATTCGTTGATTATTCAGCCCCACGGACGGAATCCAATGGTCGGTTCATGAACTTGTGTCAATTTGTTATCGTTGAGTATTTGTCCTCATAAGCAACTTCGTCGACCCCCACTGGTCACGACTTCTCACTAAAACTTTAGGCGACTTCTTTCTGTAGTTAGTTATTAGTGATGACAAGTCTGTTAGTTTGTTAGCAGGCTTTTGACTGAAGTTAGAATTGACTGAATAGTTAGCCAACTGGACTGGTGATATGAGGAAGTCTTAAGTCCAATCAGCAGTGGGATCCTAGGTGTGTACTGTTGAAGAGTCGAAAATGATGACAAAACAGCTGTCCAGTACTCCCTGCTACTCTAACTGGTATCGATCTGTGACTGAACTTGATATTCACACATACGTTGATTATCGGACGTTAAAATGAAGCTTGAAATCCACTAGGAACACAAAAAATTATTCACTTTTATTATTAAAATTTACTATAAGGTAGCCATCACTCTCTTCAATGCTGCTATCGTGAAGTGTTATAAGATTATCGCTTGTTGTACAGTTGGGAATAAAAGAGATTTTGAAAGTCGTCTACGTGAAATTTCTACTTTATTATCACTTTTAAACTCCAGATTGTGCAACAGCATCTTTTTGGGGCCTTCCAAATATTTCGGGAAAACTTACTTCACCGCCAGCCAACAACGAGTGACATTTTGTTGAAAGAAAAGCTGTCTAATTGGGCTACTTCAACATGCTTATACCACTTTATTTGCTCTTGTGTAGCCAAGTACCATGTATTCGCTCGTAAAACGCGTTCAGTAACACTATCCAGTTTGCTTAGCATAGAGATAGCGCAGGTGTATATATAGCTGAGAAACAGAGCATCTGGTGAACTTGGAGCATTTAGTTCCTCTCGTAAAGACTCAGTCATACTTCTGAAAAGGAGTGAGATTAAGGCATCTGGGCATAGCTGAGCATCTGCCGATCCGAAAGTTCAAAACCCACTCTATGTGCTCAAAAGAAATACGTTCAACCTTTGTTGGTATCATGGTCATGATTAACGGTCAATTCCGTGAATAATGATTACCCTAATACGTTTTCTATCCTACCTTCCCTATTTACGCCACTATGTTTTTTTTATCTCAACTTCCTGCCTATTTTGTTATTACTAAGTTTTAAATCGCTGATTGCTGACGAAATCTCAGCATGGACACAGAAGGCTCGTTTTGCATATGTTAGTTTACGCCGTTTCTGGCTTAGTAGACATGATATCCTGGTGGCTGTCGACCGAAGGGCGTGTGTACTGCACAGCGACAGTTCTCTATGTCCTCCTTTATAGCTGTGAGACCTAGCCTCTGAAAGTGGAATATTAGAAAAGGCTAACTGTCTTTTATCATAGGTGTCTGCTTAATATCTCCTGTGTTACGTGGTATAATAAGGCTAGAAATATTGAGATTAGGCTTTGTTCAAGTGCTAGGCAAGGAGAGGAAATCAATAGACAAGGCTGTGAATTTACATCAACTGAGATGGTTAGGATATGTGTTAAGTATGCCTAGCCGTCGACTTCCTCGACGGGCTATGTTAGCTGACACAGGATCGATCAGGCTGGAAAATAGCTAACGGTAGTCAAACCAAAACATGACGTCAATCAGTGAAATCCACAACAGTTAGCTTAAGCCAGCCAGCCACCTAGGGAGGTGTAGACTTGCTGACTTGTTGAAGTCCTCGGGATGGTAAAAATCAATGGCTGGAGACAATTGGTGATATGGCTCAAAATCGTTCCCGATGGCTGGTGCAGATGCATCCACACCTTGTGACTTACAATACCCAATAAAACTCTATTGTTCTTCCATACTACTATTCTTTTTGTCTCATATCTCTGTTTACTGTCTGTGTTTTGCATTTTTTTAAAACTTTCTTCTCTTGTTCTGTGTGCTAAGTGAAGCGTGGCGACTCAGAGTGCTGCACATCAGTGCAAAGTTCTATGTTGAAACCAGTCATTTATTCGCTCAGATTGCACAAAACATCAATTTTCTCGTTAATTATGATCCTACTGTGTTTTTTTATATCCGGTTTTGCTTTTTTTAAAATAATTTTTATTCCATTTTAATCCCTATATGCAATCTCAATAGTCTCACCGTTGACCGGAAATATTTCTCGAGCTTTTTCATCCATTTACCATAAACTCACAATTAGTGGTGTAATTACTCAAAATAAACTTCAAGAGCAACACTCAACAGCTGAATAACCAAGGGTATTTGCTCTAGTTGAAGCCTATTAAAATTATGAATGACCTGATGCTTTGTATGATGTAATTTTGCATAGTTAAGCATCTTCTCTTATTTTCTTATTTCATCTTCATTCGCTCTGTAGTGGATGGTGTACTACCCACCACCCCCATTACAATCTAGCATTATTTATTTACTCAGACTATTTATCTTTCTTAGCCGTTATCTATGACGTCTACTTGAAGATTTGTTTGTTTAGTTGCGCCATCTTGCATTATTCTTGTTATCATAAGTCGTTCCAGTAAAATTACTATTATTATTATCATTACTATTACTGTTATGTATATTATATATATATATACATAATATTATATTTTATATATATTCTATCTGCTGATCTTTCCTGGTCGTCTCATATCTTGACGATTTCTAAGAAAGTATTCCGTCTTACCTTCTACATCAAGAAGTTAAAACATTCTGGAATAACCCAACCCTTACTCCTACGATTTGTTAACTCTTGCATTCTGCCTATTATTCTCTATAGTTCCCCCTTAGTTTACCAGGATTACTGAAGAAAGACTATACCTTATTACGCAGGATGTTAAAGGCTGTCAGCAGAATAAGCAACGTGCCACTTAACCAGCTTGTTAATATTCTGGTCCACAGGCAGGCACTTGGACTCATGTGAAAAATGGGCTAAATCCATTCTATCTAACTCATACCACCCTCTTCACTCACAACTCTCCCCTTGCATCTTATCAGGTAAAACCAGAAGCCTATATTGAAAACTATATGCTCGCCCTAGCAAGTATAAAAACTCAACCATACCCTACTTAGCTCGTGTTCTGTGCGATAAAGAAAGCATTAGGCGTGATACCTATAACTTATTAAATAGTCAGTAGAACAACTGGATCTCGTCTTTCCAACTCATATCATTTATAGGTACAACATTTTCTTTCTTTCTTTTCCTTTTCTCTCTCTCTTTTTTCTGTTATGTGCTGCTTTGTTTCTTTCTTGCGCTTACGCCAGTAAATATGACAGCACCTACTTTTCTAACACCTTCAAACACTGTTCAACATTGGCTTTGCTACCGACATGCCGATATGTTGTTGTCATAATGAACAGAGATTCCCTTAGTCTATGTAGAATTTTATGTGCTGTATTTATTTATGTATTATGTGTTTTGATAATGTACTAACTGGCTGCGATACTGTAGTAAAAATGCTGAGAATTCCATTCTGTATCACAAGTACTGTTTTGCAATAAAGCAAATTATTATTATTATTATATTATTATATTTGTATAGATGTGCATCTCAGAGAAAAATCTAATGAGAGATCCAGTTGAAAAAACACAATATTGTTCACGCTTACATGTGTGTATTGGTGTGGGTGTGTTGCCTTTAAATTTCACTGTGAGAATCTTTAATGATTTAAAAACAGCTGTTCTTTTGGTTTTCTGGATTTTGCTTTTGCATTTTTTCCTTTTTTAAAAGATTTCTTTGCATTAATCTGTCAATCTGATGGTCACCAAAAACCTACTTTTTTTAATATTGCTCTATGTTTCTTCTCGTTGTCTGGTAGTCCTACTGTGTCCTACGTATCATACATATATATATATATGAGCCGCAAATGAATTCCTTTTTTTGACATCACAATTGTAGAGGTGACCAATTTGCAATCGCTCTCTGAGTACAACTCTGATAAAAAAAGATAGAATTGGTTCTACAGAATTCAAAGTATAGACAGTTGACATTATTATTATTATTATCATTATCATTACATATTATTGTTTCCTCGGTTTCCTAGTGGGACATAGGGTTCTGTGATTACGCATAGTCTCTTATCTCCACGTCACACCATCTCCTCCATGTCATTCTCGAACGCCCGACTCGGTATTTCCCGCTTAGGTTCCACTGGAGCAATGGCCTGGTGCGTGACGTCTTTCGACAATCTCCTAAGCGTGCGGGTATGTGTGATGCATTTCCATTTCATTCTGTATTATTTTTCAAGCGGTGGTTTTTTGATTTTGTTGGTTCCCAGAGTTCCTTATTGCTTATATCCTTTCTGGCTGGCCATATGATCTTCAGTATCGATGCTACACCTCAAATTCACCTCAAGCCTATACAATTAAATGGAGGAATTCCCAAAATATTCTAAAACATAATATGATTTTCAGGTGTTATCAGATGGTTGGAGGTAATTGGTAGGAAGCTCAGCCTGACGTAGTTTTCATGCTTGTTGGCTTTTCTGCAGTTTTGAAGGAGCTCATGTTCCGTCTAACACTCGAACCCGTGTTACTCAGTGCTGCAGTCAGAGACAACAGTTTGGAGTGCACCTTGATGGCAAGTCATCTAGGATAGTGACTACATTGTCAACATGACTGATAGAATTCAATTCGCACCGACACGAAGGACAAGACGCATTACAGTAGTTAGTTAGTGTCCGATCAAAGTAGGTTTTCAGTTGTTCCTCGTGAATGCAGCTCAATTTTATTCAAATGTTCTGTATTTCCTCTAACCAAACATCATCTCTACTTGATCTATTCCTAATTATTTCTTATGTAGATTGATCATAGTTTACTTATGGAGACACAAATTCAAAATCTGACTACAGCACCAATGATCTTAGAACGTGTTCTATTCGAACCTAATCCTCAATTCAGTGTTATTAATTTAAATAATATGGACTTTACTAAAAAGTAAGTCTTTGATAACAGATTTTGTTTTTTATTATTATCTCAGTTTTACTGATTCGGATCTCATATGTAATTTGGTTGTGGAATCTAAGATGCTCAATTCATTTTGTGTGGGATTCGTCAACTGGGATGCACCTGCAGCCCCCATCGCACTGATTAAGTCACTCTACTCGTACTCATACAGCCAGGTGAGGGCTTACGGCGAGTTTTCATCTGAAGTGGTGACGACTAGTGGCGTCCGTCAAAGATGCCCATTATCCCCATTCCTATTCAACTTCATCATAGACGTACTAATGGACTTAACCCTAACACACTTCAGAGACTCAGGGATTGACTTGCTACCAGGGAATAATCTCGTTGACTTAGAATATGCCGACGATATAGTCCTTCTAGGCGAGGACGCTGACAAAATGCAGAGGCTAGGTTCGCATATGCCAATTTACGCCGTCTCTGGTATAGACGCGATATCCGACTATCGACCAAAGGGCGTGTGTACTGCTCAACAGTCCGCTCCATCCTCCTTTACGGCTGTGAAACCTAGCCATTGAGAGCAGAAGACATGAAAAGATTAGCTGTCTTCGATCATAGGTGTCTGCGCTCTATCTCCCGTGTGAAGTGGTATAATAAGGTGAGCAATATTGAGGTTAGGCGTCGAGCGTAGGTAAGGTGGGGAAATCAATCGACGAGGCTGTGAAATTACATCGACTGAGATGGTTAGGACATGTGCTACGTATGCCTAGTCATCGCCTTCCTCGATGGGCAATGTTAGGTGATATGGGGTCAGACTGTAAAAGAGCTAGCGGCGGTCAAACGAAAACACGGCACCATTCAATGGAATCTACTACGGTTAGTCTAAGCCACGTAGGAAGGTGTAGACTTCCTGGTTGGGGTCCTCAGGACGGTTGAAACCAATGGTTGGAAACAATCAGTGATATGGCTCAAAATCGTTCTGAATTGCTAACGCAGATGCATCCACTCCTTGTGACTTATGATTTCCGATGAAACTGTTTTGTTCTTCGTTGTTACTATTTATTTTGTCTCACACCTCTGTTTACTGTCTCTATTATGCATTTCTCCTACTTTCTTCTCTTGCTTTGTGTGCTACAAGGAGTGGAGTGTGGCGACTTGAACTGCTGCACATCGGTGCAAAGTTCTATGTCGAAAACCGACCGACCGACCATTAGGTGATGGTGTTTCCCCCTGAAACTCAAACCCAGTGTCGGTCGTTTCAAATGCCAAAGCTAACTTCATCCACTAGACCACTTGCGCCACGAGAGTGTCCTCTTGTTCAACGTGCACAAATTATTACCTGTTTGTTGAGAATATTGCAATTTCATCAGAGTACAGTGTGAATAGAGATCGTTGAATGGCCTGTTCACACTGCAAGAGCATGAATTATAATTTGTACTTTCTTCTCCCCTCGCCCCTCTGCACATACACATACACAATGAGTGAAAAATAGAATGATGTTATGATTAATTTTTCTTACTGACGTTTCGCTACTTAATACCAGCAGAGTTTATCAAACTAATAATAATAATAAAGGAAAAGTTACACATTGGATCATAGGAATTATTCAAAAAACGATTGCAGCGAAGAAAATTTTCTTTTCGACAAAGTCATCAACTATACAGCTGTACATTCATATATTTATAGTAAATGTAGGAGAAAGTTCTGGAATTATATCCGGTCAGAGGTCAGATTAGCGTCGGTAGCATAACGGTTAGGACACTCGCCGACCATGCACATAGTCCGGGGTTCTATCCCCGGCCGACGAACTCCTTTACCTCGCTAAGCCAGAAATTATGCTGGTGAAGAGGAAAGGTTGGGCATGAGGCTAGCAACCCCATCCTGTAAAATAAACACCGCTACACAAACTTCAAACCACTAGCTTGAATCCATATGTTCCACTGGGGAACGTGAAGGAAAAAAAAGAGTTCAGATTAATAAAATCGCAATGTGTAATAAACAGAAGATAGGCGGTAGTACTATTCTAGAAATATTTCAGGCCAAAGATTAAATTGATAGAATCATAAAGTGTAATAATCAGGCAGATCGAATGGAGAAGACTTAATAAGATCATGTTTACGGAATTAGGACCTAGTATTAAGAAAACAGGTAGGAAGTTCGGACATATGTCGAGCCACCATTTTGCTCAACTTGACATCGTATGAGGTTTCAAAAACAAGTTCGTAATGGTCAAGCCAAACCTGGAATCAAGTCTGTGATTATTAGTTTGAACCCATATAGGATTTCTCTAGACTGTCTTTTTCGGGTTCCTCAGGATATTGATATGGCTGAAAATCGTCTTCAGCGATGCAGACTGTCTGACTTTTTTTGTAACCTCTTAGATCCATTAAGTCGTCTTCTTTTTCTGTGCTGTTATTCTTTTAACCTAACATTTCTGCTCGTTGTAGTTCTACATAGTTTTCAATTTCTCTAACTTTGTGCTTTACGTGGAGTCTAAAATCTTGAAGTATTGTTTGATGGTTGGAGCTAATTGGCCACAGGAAGCCTTTGATCTAGGTTTCGTGCTAGTTTGCACTCGTCATCAGGGCGTATCTGCAACCCTAAAAGAACTGATTTCCCTTCTGAGACTCGAACCCATGTCACCCAGTGCTACAGCCACCTCTAACCATCTGTTATAGACAATTCACAATGCATCGTGATGACGAGCTGCTTAGAATGGTGACCACATTGCAAACCTGACTAACAGAATTCAGCCGGCACCAAACGAAGGACTAGACACATCACACTAGTTATTGGCTAGTGTCCAATCCTCTTTTGTGCAAAGTTCTATCGTCAAAGTCAGTCAGACAGTCGGTCAATCTAAGAAGACCTGAGCTAGCTAATTGGTTTGCTTCGATGGGTGGTCACATTTTAACTAAAATGTTATAGATTCTTACCTTGGTAAAGCTGTTATAAGTGAATACTGAAGTGCGTCAGTAAAAAGTAGCAACAACATCGTTTGGTTTTTCATTCCTTTTGTGATAAAAGAACTTCTTATAATTAGTGATTATTATTAGTACACCCAGCGCTGCGAAGTGTTTTTCAAACTATTAAATCTTAACTGGGTCTAGACGCATGTGCACCACTACCCCCTTGCTAAAACATCCTATCAGTGATTTGCTTTTCTTTCTTAATAGAAATAGTTTAAACGTGTATAGGTGGATCATTAAGGCATCGAAAAACAAAGATTGTTTATTTATTCCATCTGTTATGTATATATGTAGTGAATAAAAAGTTGTCTGGCATGGAGAGATAAATGATTAATTGTTAATACTGGTAAATTATATAAATATAAGGAAGGAGGTGGGCGGATAGCTACATCAATAAATCTTAATTGTTTACGAGCTAGCTCACCTTGTAACCAGAAGGTCCTGTGTTCTAACCTTGTTGGTGACTGCATATTGCTATCCAGTACCTCCAGCTGGTCTCCACTGGTTGTCTAACTGATGTCAGCTCATGATAAAATCCTCCAACCAATCAAACAAACAAAATCCCTACAAAAGCCATACTTGAAAATAAATTTCATGTCGTAAGATGATATTTTCCAGGCAGTTAAGAAGAGCCAAGCATATCCTCTAGGAACTGTAATTATTTGGATCAGCATATATGTGGTTCACTTGTCGATGAACAAAGCCAAAAGATAAGTGTCTGATGCTGCATACTACTGATTGGCTGATTTGAGTAGTTTTTAGTATCATAAGTTTATGCTTGCTTTCTTGATTGACAAGTACTTCGGTGGCACAATGGTTAGGACTCTCGCCGACCATGCACATGGTCCGAGGTTCGATCCCCTGCCGACGCACACCCGATCTCTATGGTCGGCCTGCAAAATTTGGGCCATCGATATCACGTGCTGAAAATTCCATACTTGTACTGAAAATATGGTGTGGCATCAAGCTGTAACCAAAATAAAAAGTTAAAAAATACTGTGTGATCTGCATAATCTTGATTTCAATAGGAAGCGTTGTGGAGAATTTTCATTTCCTCCCCAAACTGTGTAAAATTGCTATTCATAAATTGATATGTGGATTTCACTCAAATTTATCGAATTCAATATCCTACTCTATTCAGCTAATATAAACAACATATGTGGTTTATAGTGTACAGTCTACCTCTTCTTCTGTGCTGGAAATATATTCACATTTAAGGAAAGAAAAAAAGAAAGAAGCATAAATACGGATATCTAGTAAAAGGAGGTAAAGAAAGAATGAGAGAAGAAGAAGAAGAATAAGAGGAAGAATTGTTAGTTATTTCGTTCCAATCTTATTTCCACTGGCAATTTAAGTAGACACATATCATTCAAGGGAAAAAAGCATATAATCACCATCATCATCAACAACAGCAGTAACACCAGGAACACATATTGACTGCCCCTGATTGATAGCATAGACAGATGATGAATACTGTATCAGCTGATAATTGTCTATTAGATTAAATTATCTCTTTAATTGACATCTTTTACAATCACCTTTTCCATGTGGGTATAAACAGTAACACACACATACATTGCGAACATGACTGATAGAATTCAGTCTGCACCAAAGATAGGACTAGACACATTACACTAATTACTGACTAGTGTTCAATCGAAAATATCCCATACAGTCACACAGGAGGTCAATCATGAGGCTGTATAGCTAAGTGGCTACGTCTCTGATTGACCACAGAACTGGGTAACTCGGGTTCGAATTGCAGACGGAGGGACATAATTTCCTTTGAGGTTGCAGATACGCCTTTCTGACTGGTGAGTGCCAACAAGCGCAAAACGACTCTGGTTTCAGTGTTGAATCTATATCTATTGATAGACTGAAACGAATGTATTTATCTCTACGGGAGGTTATAGTTTTGTAGAATGGGAAGCAACTTGTTATTATTGAAATCTGCAGTCTCCCTATTTTAGAAGGATTCCACTGAAAAAGGGATATACTCTTATAAAATTTTCGGGGTAATTTTTGTGTATTTTTGAATTGTATTTTTATAAATTCATAATCAAA